GCCGCGATTATTTTAATCGCGGCTTCATTTCCCTCTGCCGATCTGGCTAATCTACATGCCTCCGTCGAAGGAGGCATGTAGTCTAGACACACCCATAGACACTAACCTCTCCTCCTCTGTTCTAAAATCTGATGTGTCAATTTTATATGTGTTCACTTTTTTTGATTGTATCCCTTTGGAATATATGGTCATACCAATTTTCTTCCACAATTTGATCTGAGGAAGTGGGACTGGCCCACGAAAGCTCATCACCTAATAAACCATTTTGTTAGTCTTTAAAGTGCTGCATAGTCTTGTCTTTTGTTTCAGCAAGACCAGACTAACATGGCTACCTCTCTATTACTATTCTTCTGCTTTCAGTTACCCTACTCTGAAGTACACTGGGATTTCCTTAGTTCCTGCTACAAGGGGCCAATGCCTTAGTCCACAGTCAATTCCCAGTGGGGTAGAAAAGCAACATATGCCTCCCACCTGCCTCTATGAGGGGGTGAACTAGATGGGCCCAGCGGTGAAGAGGTACAGGGAGTTTTTCACCTTCCTCTCAGCACCTTCAAATCACAGCATATTAAGTAGAAATGTACCTAATTCCCAACTGAGGGAATTGGTTTAATTGTGGGCAATTTGCAGCCAGTTAAAAGGATAAAGTGAACTTAGGGTTACCAACTCAGACTAATGCTATTGTGGGAGATTCTTTCCTCCTCCTCTCCCCCATATGACAATGTCATTTTCTTAAAATATCCTATTAAAATCTCCAGGACTGCTCTCAATTTTTATTGGGAGATGAAAGGCAGATTCCGGGAGACTTCAGGCCAACCATAGAGGGCTGGTAACCCTAAGTAAACTGTTCCTAAGAGGTAAACAACCTGGAATTTGGTGACAGGCCTTGGACTCATGAGATAAGGCCAAGGTTCCTACCTTTCTCCACCCTCTGAGGATGGTGGTGGAGTGGGAGCAGGAGGGTGCTAGCACTTAAAGAGCTAAATTCTGGGGGCAGTTTGAGGTCAACCTATCCCAAATTATGGGTTATATTCAGTTTTCTTATTCACGTGTGGCATGACTTTTTTAATTTCCACCAACATGTATCAACTCCATATTAGCATACATAACAAAAGTCATTCCTTACATGGACAGTTATGGGGTGAGGCCAAAGGATTGGGGCTCAGACTGAAGGTACAAACTCTAGGATAGGGCTAGGGATGAAGTGTTTGAGATGCAAAAGCGATTTAGGGCTGGGATATAGGGATAGGTACATGAGGGTGATGGCTCTGGCTGGGGTGGATCTGAAGATGAAGTGTTTGGGGTGCAGGCTGCCCTAAGGAGAGAGGACTCACTCCAGCCCTCCCCCAGCCACAGCAGCTGTGTGCAGGGACTAGCAGGGAGAGGAGCTTCTACCTCAGCAGCTTTAGGGCATGGAGAGAGACATCTCTCCCCGCTGTAGCCCTGAGCTCTTGTTTGGGGCTTAATAGATAGAATACAGGGCTTAACAGGCAAGCTCTGTGGCTACTAGCTTAGAGGGAACTTAGGCTATGTTGTAAGGAGCCCTGTAACTCACACAATGGAACCAATTAAATGCCCAGTGTAGGCAAGTATGGGTTATGGGCAGGTAGTGCCCTTCCTCTATGCCTAAGTTTAATGAAAATTGTGGTCTTCCACTTAATTATATGCATTTGTCAGTTCTTAATTCACCTTTGCGTCTATATTAAAATATACTGCTGTTGTAAATACAACCAACAGTTTTATTTGGGTCTTTCTAAGGAATTAGATTGGAGGGTTTTGCTTTTGTCTCTTTCCTAATTCTTTTCTTTAGTTATTTAAAATATTTTAAAGTATCATTTACTGAAATATGCAAGAGAGAATTTGACTCTTTCTATAGCATGGGCTGAAGAGACTTAGTGCCATATTACATAATACTTACGCAATATTACATCAGAGCAAATACGTTTATGTTAAAATCAGCAATGACTGACACTGTGACACCATCCTTTGTTATATAGCATATTTAATAATTTTTATGAGAAATGTCAGTTATGGCACGATGACAGATCCAAACTATTTTACTACTGAATTACAATTATATCCAACTGATAGGGTTAAGCAAATAATAGGTCTGTTGAAGTTTCAAAAGTGACTTAAGTGCCTTTGAAAATTTTACCATTCCCTGTTCTCTAAACCAAAGTCCAGTTTATCCATAATTACAACATTTTTAAAATGGTACTTCTCAGTATACTGGTTTTTGACTGCCCAAAGTTGTTTCAGGCATTGTAAATGAATGAGACCTTTAAGAATTACAAACACCTCGGGAATAGATGTTGTTTAGAACTCTGAAATGTTCGTAAATTTGAACAAAAACGTTATGGTTGTTCTTTTGAAAGTTTACAACTGAACATTGACTTAATACAACTTTGAAACTTTACTATGCAGATGAAAAATGCTGCTTTCCCTTTTTATAAATAGTTTATGTTTAATACAGTACTATGCTTCTTATATATGCTTTTTTATTTTTTGTGTCTCATGCATCCTGGTTGTGCACTTTCAGTTCCAAATCAGGTGCATGGTTGACTGGTCAGTTGGTAACTCTGAAGTCCTACTGTGAAGGTCAGCTCTTAACTGGCTGAAATAAACTATACTTGTATAATTGGCACAGCATACTTTTGCACACAAGCACATTTCAAACACACACCCCTCACCTGTTTCCATAAAACAGTTAGGTGATAAATATACACAAGGTATACAGTCCCTTCTTCTCCAAGCGTTTCAAGACTAGTATTATGCATTTTCCTAATAGATTTCATCCATCAATTCAAAGAAAATAATAATCACATCCATATCTAAACAAATGCAAAAATCTGTTTATTCAGCGATATATCAATTTACCACAAACACTTAGCTTTACATTACATACACACACACACACACACTGTACTTTCAGCCAAACTATAAGGAATACGGTGGATATGACAATTATCTTGCAACAAGTTGTCACAGATTTGTTATGTTTAAACTGAAAAGTCAAATGATTTCCCAAACTTCCCTTAATAATTAAATGCTTAATGTAAAAATATAGTGGTATCAGTACCTGTGTAGTTTCATTTCATTTTCTTGATATAGTTCCGTCATTACTTTAAGCTTTTGCTGAAGCTTTTGAACTTCAATTTCAAAATGTGAATTTTCAGATTGCAAGGAGACTTGTTCATTTTGGAGTTTTTCAATGCGTTCTGTCAAATTTAGAGACAGCTAAATATCCAGTGAATAATGCAGTTTATGAAGTTAAAACAAAATTATAAACATCCTCAGAAAGTAAAAACTCTGCAAGTCAAGGACCGTAATGTTTTATTAATGAAGGACTTGTCAACACTCGTGAAGTAACACAGGAAGAGATCTCCCTACAGTCCACAGAATGCTGTTTTGTTTTTTTGTAGTGTGAGATATTTCCACAGATTGCACAACTGAGTAGTAGTATTGTTTACTGGTCTTAGTACGGGAAAAGGAATCAAGAGTTATGATACTTAAGTAAAAATGAGAATTTAAATGTCAGTTTCAAACTATGCTTCCTTTCAATACATTTAATCCTCTGAAGTTTGAAGGCCCTAATGAGGAAGAAGGCTACTATCAGTCTAGAACCGTGGTGTATCAATACACTAGCCACATGTGACTATTTGGCCAGATGAGTGTGGCTAGTTTGCTGGCTTCAAAACTGGCTAAACACCACAGGTCTAGAAGGACATCTGATAGATTACCGTAGGAGAGCTTTAAATTTTATGGGAAACAAAAATTGTTGCATAAAAGGACAGAATTATTAAATGCCCAGGCATATGGCATTTAAAATTTAGTCCAATTTTCTGCTGATAGTGTTATTTACATTAAAAGTACTGATTAGAGTTAAGATGTATAAAGCTGCATTTTAATCTCTCTCTCTATAAAAACAAAACAACAACAAAAAACCCACACTTGTGCGTCCTGCATCCTTTCCCTCTGCCCTCAGCCCTGCCTCCTCCCAGTACTCCGGTGGAGCAGAGGCCATACAGCTTCTCCCCTTCCTGCTCACGGGGGAGGGGAGGAGAGGGGAGGGATTGGATCCACATGCCTCTCCCCTTGGTGGGGCACGGGAGGGCCAGAGCCGGGGGTCAGGAGCTGCATGCCCTCCTTCCTTGGGAGGGGAGGGGAAGGGGGAAGGAGACAAGGGCCATATACCCTCCCCTGCTCCCAGCAGCCAGAAGGAGAGAGCCAGGCCAGTTGCAGCCTTGGCCTGGCCTAGCCCCCCAGAGGAAGAGAGCTGGGGGGAGGAAGGGGAAAGAGAGCACATGGGCTGCCTTTCCCCCGAGAAGGGGATTGGTGAGCACAGCAAGCAGGGTGCACAGCCCCCTAATTTTATTTTAAAAATACTTTTTCTTCATGGATTTTGTCCAACAAAGGAAAAGGGGTGACTATGTACTTTCTAAGCAAAGGTATTTTTAGAATAAAGAAATATAATATTCCAACTATATATAATGAACTAATCACAATGTTATTAGAAATTTGTTGACCAATTAAACATTCCATTGTTTATAAATACTTTATATTGAAATATATTAGATATATTTTCAATAGCAATATTGAAAAAAGATATATTTATTTGAAATGACAACTGTTGCATTTTCAATCAGTGAAGTGAGGTAATAAATTAAAAATGGCATGTCAACAGTCTGTGTTACTACTTGCTATGGTTTTAGCCTTTTAAGACCAATTTTTTAGAACTGGCTAAGTCACTTAAATTCAAACTTACTGGACTTTTATCTAACTGAATAAAACTGTTAGTGTAAGCTTAATATTTTTTCCACAAAATTTGAATGAATGAGCCAGAGTTATTTAAGGTAATGAATAGCTTCTGATTTTAAAAACTCAGTTATTTTTACAATATCAAAACACTGTAATTTACCTGTAAGTTCTTCTTTAGCTTTATCTTCATCTGCCAGTTTTAAATATACTTGATTTCTTTCTGCTTCCAGGGTTTTTAAACAAGCATTTACCTATGTTAAAATAAAATAGGAAATAAGCGTGAGAACATTACTGCAGGAAAGACTCAATCCTACTTGACTGCAATTCTCAGATAATGCAACACTAAAGTAACTATCGTATGTTATGGTTGTAACATTGACTAGTGCTTGGAAATACAATACACTATTTCATTAGGACATGATATTCTGCGTTCATTGTAGATTCTGACCAAGAAAAAAAAATATCAATTAAGATTTTTAAAATAAAACATATTTAGAAAAAAGCACTGAGAAACCCTGAACTTCGTTGATATGGATACATTTATGTCCATTAATAGACAATCTGATAGCATGTACTTTAAATAGCAGTTTCTCTGTCCTCTTCCTTGCAAATTTTTAAAATCAATACATCATAAATTGTTACTACATACCTTAGCAGCATAGATCAGCTTCTTTATCGTTCGCTTTTCCTGATCATCTTATTAAGAGCATAAAAAGAACAGTGAAATCACAAAAACAGCACATTTTTTGATTGAAGTGTGCATTTACTACACCTAATTACTGGATATATTTTTCATAAAAATTAAGTTTGTGCTTAGTGTGGTAGAAGCCAATGTGATTCACTCAGCGTGGAAGAAAAAATTAAAATTGACACTTCTGACATTAACATACACGCTGACTAAGCAGCATCAAATAAGCTGACTGAGGAAAAACAGCTATGCAATATGAATTTAGTATTCTGGAGGAGCACATTTGCAAACCGTATTAGTACACAGGGTTAAGAAATCCAGCTTCTATCTTTAACAAATTAATTTCATTACAAGTTTTGCTGAGGTCAAGTTATTCTGTTCTGTAAAAGTATTGGGAGGAAGAAGAGGGGGCAGTGCTTAGATAAGAAGTTGTTATGATTGTACCTAAAGCCTCTCCATTTTCTGTTTCACCCATTATATCAACATCCCAGTGGTTATCTTCAGCATTATCTTCTCCTATTGCTGCGCTCCAGTCTTTCATCTTCAACAAACATTCTGTCAATGACTAGATATTACCAAAAATAAATAAAATTAAAATCCAAAATGAAAAATAGGCAGTAAACGAATGCCACACTGAATCAGTTTCAACTTTGTGTACTTTATTCATTTCTCATTAATATATCAAAATTGGTCTGGTATTTAGGATCCTACATGTTCCACTACGTACCATTAAAACACAGGTAAGAAGCAGGACAACAGTTAGGCATATATAAAGTTTCTTAAGGTACGTCTACATAGCAGGGCTAAACTCAAAATAAGCTATGCAACTTAAGCTATACTAATTGCACAGTTTAAATTGAAATAGTTTATTTCAAATTTGGGTGCATCTATTCAGCACTTATTCCAAAATAGAGCACTCTTGCTCAGACTTCCCTTAATCCTCATAAAATGAGGGTTACAGGAGTTGGAGTAAGAAGTCCTCCAGCTGGACATTATTTCAACATTATGTCAAAATATCTGCTTGTTATAACAGCAGTTATTCCAAAATAACGGTGCTGTGTAGACATACCCCTAATGATGCTCATTGGGAGCTTCTGAAGAGTTCTGTGTGTATGTGCGCACGTGCCCACAAAGCGAATATTTTTTTAGAATGCAAATATTCCTATTTATTTCAGATGTTAGCTTCTAGAATTCTATGGCCTTTGGACAGTGTCCTGATGAATTCAAACCTCAAACTAAGCTGCTTTGTTTTCCCAGGAGGGTAGAGGAAAAGGTGAGTAAGAAAAAACAAAAAATAAGTTAATGCAAAAAGCAAATTGAGATAGATATTACAATGAGAAGATGTTATCTTCTAGAATACAAAAGATTCAGTGTTAAATACAATAATTTACCTTGACTTGACTTTCCTTGTTTTTCAAAGATTCCTCCATATCTACTTTAGATGATTCAAATATTTTTGTTTGTTCATTTAGTTCACTAAATCGTTCACCCCATCCTTCAGCTTCTTGTAAAAGCTAAAAAGAGAATTGTATCAGATCAATGAGACAATCTATTACAAGTTGGAGAAAAAAAAAATCAAGAAATAACCACTCGATATTTTTCACATTTCTACAATTAGCCCTGTGTACACTCATAGGCAGCATATGTGGGGTTAGTATTTTGAAATCCTACCACCACCTATGAAAACTAAAAATTGGGTAACATTTGAACATGTTTACATTTTAAGTTATTGTCCTGTTCTCTAATTTGTTATCAGCTGTGCTAGCTCTTTAGTGTAATTAGTTACTAGGATATCTATAAACAAATTTGACTGAATAGATCAATATTTTAGAACAACAACAAACCGCAGATTTCTGGGAAAAGATTGAAGAGAAGAGACATTAATTTCCCACATGCTCCTTAAACTGCAGCACTTGTTCTCTTTTCGAGTTAAGGCAAATGTGAGAAGGAAGTGTCCCATTAATGTTTTCATTTATATCTTGGAAATTTTCTATTGAATAAAACAAATGTGGCAGATATTTAATTAACCACACAACCTGTAGATTTTTTTCCCCTAATACAGTAATTACTCATTTAACACGTGCCTGCTTCACACGTTTTCGCAATAGCACCATTTTTTTTAAGGGAACGTTTTTTGAATAACACGACCATCCCTGAAATAACACGAAAATAATCAAGTGGCGGACTACTTCATGCGGGGGTATAAGTTGGTAAAAACAGTGGTAATATGCATGAGCGGATGAATACATGTGGTCACAGCGTTCCTCCGTTCACTCATGTGTTTATCTTGTGTTTTAACAAACTGCAGCAACTTGTGTTGCTAGATATCTTGCTGTTACTGTATTATCCCTTATCATGAGTGGCAAGCGTAAGGAAAGTGATACATCTGCTTCTGCAAGCAAGAAGCATAGAAAATCATTTACATTAGAAGAGAAACTTTAAGTGATTAAGCAAATTGAAAAAGGCGAATGCAATTGCGATATCTCCCGTGCTTTGAATATGCATGAGTCTAGTGTGCGCACGATCCATGCCCAAGCTGAGAAAATTAAGGAAAGTTGCAAAAATGCAACACCAGTAAGTGTGAAGAAGGTTGTTCATACACGATCTAACCTAATGGAAAATATGGAGAGGCGATTGTCTATGTGGATTGAAGACCAAACACAACGAAAGATGCCAGTGAATTTGGCTGTTATTCAGGAAAAAGCAAAAGCTTTATATGATGCTGTTAAATTAGAACTGAATGAAATTGATGCCAAGCCATTTAATGCAAGTCATGGTTGGCTCAAACACTTTAAAAAGCGTTCAAACTTACATAATATAAAAATAACTGGAGAGGCTGCTGCTGCTGCTGACACAGAGGCTGCTGAATCATTCCCAGCGATATTTGAAACTATTATAAAGGAAGATGGCTATTTGTCTAAACAGGTGTTTAACCTGGATGAAACAGGACTCTACTGGAAGCGCACGCCAGCACGCACATATATCTCTTGTGAAGAGGCTTATGCACCTGGCTTTAAGGCTGCAAAGGACCATATGACTGTGATGCTATGCACCAATGTAAACAAGGATTGCAAGCTCAAACTGGCAGTTTATTGTTCGGCCAACCCTAGAGCTTTAGCTAGGTACTCAAACAACAGGAAGATGATCCTTTGGAGATCTAATGCAAAAGCATGGGTAACTGCAAGCATCTTCACAGACTATTTCTGCAATTGCCTAACTGCTGAGTTGAAAGACTACTGTTTGCAAGAAAATCTTGCTTTCAAAATTTTACTTGTAATGAATCAGGGCATCCTCCTCTTTGCCTTATTTATCTGTCAGAAAACATTTGAGTGTTATTTTTACCCCCCAATACAACCTCATTAATACAACCTCTTGATCAAGGAGCGATAGCTGCTTTCAAAGTGTATTACTTCCGCCGTACATTTGCTAGGCTTATAAGGGAGACAGATGGTGAGAATAAGCCTAATCAAGGAGTTCTGGAGAAAATTTAACATTAAAGATGCTATAGATCAGTGGTCTCCAACCTTTTTACACCCAAGATCACTTTTTAAGTCTCAGAACAGGTGAAGATCTACCGCCCCGCCCCTTCCAATAACAAAGTCTCAGTGTGACACCTGTGACTGAACAGTATCTGCCAGTGTCTTGAAGTCTGGGTTGTAGTCTGAGATTGCTAGTCGTATATAGTCCATCAGATGAGAATCTGTGATCCTGCGCTCAGCCTGGGAAGCTTGCTCCAGCACAGCTGGAGCTAGATGCAGCCTCCTTGGGCTGAGTTCAGGGCAGCCGGGCTGGAGGGAAGAGAAGTGGCTGCCCGGCCAGCTGGCCATGGCGCTCAGCTGGGGTGCACCAAGCTCCACGTGGGCAGGCAGAGAGGAGAAGCCGCCGATCAGCTGGAGCCTGGGGCAGCCTCTTTCAGCTGAAAGCCAGTCAGCTGTCTGGGGTGTTTCAGCCCTCCCAACCTCCCAGCTCCCACAATTCCTCGCAGCTACTCACCTGTGTTGTTGCTCAGTGAGTAGCTGCTCCTCAAATGAGGAAATCTAATGTAAGTGCACTGCGCAGGCGCGCAGTTCAGAGAGGGCTCAAGAGCTACTCTTAGAGCCCCTGAGATCTACCCGTAGATCACGATCTACTGGTTGGTGACCACAGCTATAGATATTATAGCAGAGGCTTGGGCAGAAGTTTCATCAAGCTGCCTTAATGCAGTTTGGTGCCATATATGACCTGCATGTGTTCATGAGTTCAGGGAGTTTGACACTGAAATAGCTGAAGCTAAAAAGCAGATTGTAGCCCTAGCCCATGGAACAGGATTAGAGGAGGTGAATGCCACTGATGTGCAAGAGTTGCTCAACTCTCATGGGGAGGAATTGTCTATGGACAAGTTGAAGCTGCTGAATGAGCAGCGGCTGGAAAATGAGCCTGAACATGCTGAGCCAGTTATTTGAACATTATCAATGAACGTTATGGCTGAAGCATTTAAGCTTATAAGTGATGCAATAACATTTTTTTATGAGAATGATTCTGATCGCAAACGGAGCTCAAAAGTAGCAAAAAGCTTAGAAAGCGCCTCATGTTGCTACCAGCAACTTTACAATGAAAAACAAAAAGCAGCTCTCTATAGAAAGTTTTTTCATGTTCAACCTAAAACAACATCAGCTGATGAACAAGATAGCTCTGTTCCATCTACATCATCTAATGTTGACGTTGACGAGACAGCACCAACAGAAAATTGACTTTGACATCACCACCTGAAATGCAACCCCCACCTTTTCCATTATTTTCAGTGGGAAAATTGAAAAGTTTTATAGCAAGTTTTCGCTTAGCACAATCATTTTTTGAAACGCATCTACCGTGTTAAATGAAGAATTACTGTAATTATTTTTACCATACAGTTAAAATATATTTTAAAGAGACATTTTTGCTGATCAAAGCTATGAGTATTCTATGTATACAGATATTAAATATTAAAAATACAGTAGTTAGCCTTTTGTTAATTAGAAGGGCAGCCAGATTGTGAAGATTTTGGAGCTACATTAACAATTTTATATTTCATTTTCAGATGTGTCCTTAAAATAAAAGGAATAATTAGACTTCAGAGTTTGTTAAAATAAATGTAATTACTATGTCAACTAATTAAACCACACCTGCATTATATGAAAACTGAAGCAAATTTGTGAAGAACAGCATATTTAATATTATAAAAATTCTAGAAGCTATTTCTCAGAATCTTGCAAAAAAGTTGAGGGATGAACATTAAGCAAATGACGACCTAAACATACCAGGTTTACAGAATGAAGTGGTTAATCTATTTTAATCAAACAACCAATAAATAGATGGCAGTTTACAGCCTAAACTTCAACTTACCAAAGATAAGCAATTTTAAAGATATAATAAAAACAGAGGCTGTAAGTAAATTTTGACCAATTATATTTTTAATCATAATCAAACATCCATTTCATCATACGAAAACAAAACAAAAGTTATTTCCATTGATAACATTTATAGAGAGTTAAAAAAAACCTGTTACTTGAGAACAGAGTTTTATTTAAGAATATTTACTTTGTATTTCTGGATACATGATGTTGACATCATGTATTTTAACTGACAGAAAGCTCTAACTTTTTAAATCTCAGCATCTGCTGTCATTAGATATTATTGTCTGATTTAAGGATGTTAAGAGGCAAGTAATTGGGTAGTTATGTAGTCAATACAATTTGTATCGACTACATGATTAGATGATAAAGGAAGGCGCTGCCCCCCCAGCAGCTCTGCAGTTGAAATGCAGTAAAAGCTGGATGCACATTTAAACTGAAGAGCCTATTTATTTATATGACAAAATGAAGTGAATGATCAAAGTTACCCTTCTGAAACAGCACATTCCCTTTTAAGATGTAAATATCATATACTAGATAAGTGATCAACGACTCCATGTCTGGCTACCAGCCAGTATCAAGTGGAATGCCCGAAGGATCAGTACTGGGGACTGGTTTTGTTCAACATCTTTATTAATGAGTTGGATGAGGGGATGGATTGCACCCTCGGCAAGTTTGCAAATGACACTAAGCTAGGGGGAGAGGTAGATACATTGGAGGGCAAAGATAGGGTCCAGAGTGACCTAGACAAATTGGAGGATTGCGCCAAAAGAAATCTGATGAGGTTCAACAAGGACAAGTGCAGAGTGCCAATGAGCTGGACAGGAAATCTGGTAGGTTTCTGGCAAACTCGTTTCTATCAAAGTCTACATTTCCCAGCAGAACATTTCAGTTTTGACTAACTGGCATTTTCAGATAAAGTGTTGATGGAACATTTCTAACCAGCTCTAGTTGGTCATTCCAATGTGCTACCCAGGTCATTCTGAACTTTTCTCTTCCCTTCCATCACAAAGATAATGAACCATTCTCCTGGTTTATGGCAACTAAAATCCTTGTCCACTGCCTCAATTTTCTCCTGTTTAAAACTCTTTCTTTGTCATCTCTATCAAATTCAAGTTTCTGGTTCCCACTTTTATGGAGCTCAAGTACTAGCCTAAATATTTATTCTCATTTCTTCCAAATCTCTTCCTCCCCCCACCTCAGTAAAATCTTTTCTCTCCTCCATTGTATCCTCCTCTCTATCACAGGGTGGCTTTTTCCACTCTGCCCTTTAGGGCTGGAACAAGTATTTCACACCTTACTTGTTAAGGATTTCTTCTCTTACATGTGCACATTTCATAAAACCTTTTCAAAGAGAGACTGATCCAAGAAAAAGTTACTCTACCACAACAAGACATTCTAAATATATATCTAGAGAGAGAGAGAGCTGATCTCCAGGAATATTATGTTCTTCAAAAGCTGAGTTCTCCTCCTCCTTCTATTTATCTATCCCTCATAACCAGCCTGGTCAGTCATTTTTGTTATGTTCAATCAGGTGATGAACTCCTTAGAGCAGGGATAACTTGAATTGTGTAGACAATGCCATACATACCTACAATACTACACATAAACTAGGAAGAACTTACCTGTTTCTCACTTTCCTGAAGATGACAGTTTTCCTGTATTGCATCTTGGACAGATGTCTCAAGTCTCTCTTTATTAATGTGAAATACTTTTAATGTGGTCTTGGCCTAAATGAAATAGAAGAAAGTGAACTGCTTCAACACTATATCTGAAGATCCAATAGTATGTTGCTGCTTATGATAAAGTTCTTGGCAGTGTATGTCTCAGGTACTAACAAAATGAAGTGTAACTGTACTTTCCACTTAACAGTAATTGATTTTACAAAAGAGGACGACAATCAGCTACTAAATACCAAAAAACAGGGCTGAGCTCTAGAAGACAAGCATTAATATTCATGTCAATTCTTTCCTTTGAGCATTTAATTTGTGATAATACAATTTTATTTTAGTAATTGGTTTACATTATTTGAACAAAAATCTCAGATATTGAACTTACTTCTGCCACTTGTGACTGGATGCATTTTGCTTCATTTTCTAAAGACTCCATTCTTCTCTGTATATCTGCCATCTGAAAAGCCATAATATTTATCTTCATACAAGTTTTTCCAGAAGTTTGATTGAAATGTTTTAAGCCAAAATAATTTTGAGATACATTTTAGTAGCATTTGCTGAAAATTTATTCCTGTAAAATATTTCTGGTTAAATTGTAAGAATTGTCTTTGCATGCTTGACAATACCAGTGTTCCTTTCAAGTATTTCTTTAAGGAAGACTTTTTGGCTGTACAATAGTGACATATGATTACATACCTATGCCTTCCTTTTATCTGTCTTGTAACATACTGTTTCTTTTTAAAATGTTTATGTCTAGTACATCCACAATGAGATACTGGAGAATCATTAAATAAATCCATTTTCTAGAAGTACTTTAGGAAAGGATTTTTCATATGCAGGATATTTAAAATGTCTGCAGAATGGACCTCCAATTATTATTCCTTTGCAACTTTTAAGAGTGAAAGTGTTCACTGAATTTACACTCTTACAAATCCTTCTGTACATTAAAATAAGATCACTGGTATCACAGGTGAAGACAAGACTATAATTCAGAAAGGGCTCTATGTTTGCTTTATAAAGGCAGATAAACAACAATTCTGTGGGCTTCCCTAGTTACATAGTATAGAAGTTGTTTTAACTTGTTGACAGCAAGCACAAAATATCTGTTTTGGCATTATATAACCAGACAAGACTGCCCCCACTTCCTAAATATCCTCAAGATGAAAGCAAGTTATTTTGCCTGACACTAAGCATCATCAATGGTAAACAGTACAACACTGTAGGTGAAAGACTGGAGAAGGGAGAAACAAGATTGGCTATTGATAAATGAGCCAAAAAACACTATATTTCTGGAGGTGCTACAAAAATGATTCCCCCGACCTAGGACAAAAAAGTGTGTTTTCTAAATAAAAAGACAGTTAAAATTCAGGGAACCTTCTCAAATCAGACCTTTTTAAAGTGTATTTGGAAGCATACAAAGAAAAAGTTATTGAAAAAAAATCACTTAATTGTTAAACAAATCTTCTCTTACCCTTGCTATTTAGGATATTCAATGTACAACTGTATCTTTAGCTTCTAAATATTTTAATGTTAAATCCTGAACCGTAACAATCTGAGATTTATCCCTTGAATAATTTTTTAAACAAAATTTAAAATTAAGTTAAAAAAGGAATGGAAAAAACTGCCTTTTCAGTAAATATCTTCTCAGAGAAATAACTCAAATTATGCACAAACATAACTTGGTTTTAAAAATTTGAACATGTTATCTTAATATGATGAAAAAAAAATTTCTGACCCTTACCAAGTCATCCTGTTCTGATCGCTTAGACTTCTCTTCTTCCAACTCTTTTTCTAAATTCTCTAGTTCATCTTTGAGTGCTGTGTTTGACCTGTTCAGTTTTTCACAGTTTGCCTAAAACAAGTCATTTGATATTTAATTTCTTTATAACTATACATTTCTGTACATTAACTACGGGTATGTATAATGTATTTTTATGGAGCATTTTAATAAGATACAGAGGTGCAATGGGGCTCAGAAGCTAAGGCTGCACTGTGATCTGTTTTTAGAGATTAAAACACTTATGAATAGTCTTATTCCCACCTTTACAGCTTTTACTCCAAGTACAAAATGAATTTAAGTATATATACACATTTTAAAATGAGAAGTATGCTAAGTCTAGCCTTTTTTGGAACCCTCTATCAAATAAGTTCCTGACTTTTGAGATATAAAAATGTATTCATTTCTATACTATAGCAGCCTATAAGTCACAGTGTTACTTTAAGTTATTAATGTGTATTTTTGGAACAGATCTATTTAAAATTCATGCTGCAATATTTGCCATAAAATGTATTATTTCAAAATATCGTGGTACACATTTGATTCTGTACCAGTCATTGAGGAAGAATGAGTTTCCACAACAATTTTACAGGATGTCACATCTGACATTCAGTAAAATATACATAACTATTTGCTCAAAAATTAATTGCCTGTGTGTCTGATTTGCTTCATATTTATATCTCTGTTTAACAGATGCACTCTCTCATTTTGAGAAAACCTGGATCAGGAACAATTCCACAGATTTTTTTTAAAGTACATTTCTGATCCATTGAGTTTTTCCTGAAATGCGACCTCAATTATACAAAAATAAGCCCTTATTTCTTTTACTCTGTTTTTACCTCAATAGGTGATGTATCTGTTGACTCTTTCAGAAGACTGGCATCCTTTAGAGATGATTCTAAATCTTCATACTGAAAGAGATAGTTTATGTCAAAATGTATGTAAGATCAAAAATAGTTTAAAATGTAATTAATTGAGGATAAAATTGAACACTAACGGGTGGATTTTTAAAGGTACTTAAGCACACTAGACATTAATTCCCAATGGATGTTAGTGGGATTTTCAGAAGAGCCAATTTACCTAAAGATGCAGGTAGGCACTTAAGTGCCTAACCATCGTTAAAATCTGGCCCTAGAAGTTTAGCACATAAGAGCATAAAACAAAGACATTTAGAATACATTTACAATGCAGTGTACTGTACTAGGATGTAAAAGGAAGAACTGATTTCAAGATCATAAATATATAAACTTTTAATAGTTAAATTTAAATAAAGCTTCTATTGCTTAAAAGAACAGTCTCTCAATGTGCTAAAAAAATAAATTGGAGGAGGAGGAAGATAAATATAAGAGTTACCTCTTTCTTGCAGAGACTAAGTTTTTCGAGAACTTTGCATTTGTCTTCCAGTAGTTCAGCAATTTTACTGGCAAGCTGTTTTTCCCTTCCTACAAAGAACAGTAGCTTCATTTTATAACAGCCAAGTAATTAAAATAGTTAAAAATCAACAGTGTAGCTAGAAGCAGATGCCACAGAAACAATAAGGAAAGTTAACTTACCTACATAAAGTCTGCTTCTAACCTGAAACAAAAATGAACAAGCACTTAAATTTGTCTATTAAGTTGCACAGCATGAAAAGATGAGACTATTCAGTTTTTAGTCTCATTTTCTCTGCATTCTTTACTTAACATTACAATGTTTATTTAATCTACAATAAACTGGGGCTTTTTGTGATCTTGTCAGCATGGATCCCACCTTAGGTGTGCATCCATCTCACACATATGAAACCGTATGTGTTCTTGAACAACAGCGTGAGTTGGGGCTGTTCATTAGTTCTGTGCCTCCTCACGCTTCCATTCAAGTCCATAAAAGGAGGGGCTGCTACAACCGTCTCTCAATTCATCTTACTATCTAAAGCCATGATGACTGAGGACTCCCAAAAGCATAGGTGCAAGGTGAATCATGGGATCCACTGTATGTCCATCTTGAAGAACAAGAGTTACTATAGGATAAGTTTTTTTTTTTTTACTATCCATTACTGTGGATGCCAATGGAGGTGATTAACAAGCAACATGATCCCTAGATAGTTGAAGTGAGGTATTTCATTTGTACCAAGCAGTGACTGAAGTACTGATCCTGAACTTGGCATTTAACTCAGCTGGCATGCCTATAGTGGGTTTAAAAACAAAAGTGAATAGGTTGCGCCACAATGCTGTTCTCAGAGACTGGCAGGCAAAAGATGCTGCCAGTTCCCTGGTGGCATATGCCTGGATATGTGGCAGGAGAGCAGTGACTTTCTCCAGGGGTTCAGGAAGGTTTCAGAAAAAAATGGAATGGCAAATTAACTGATTGTTCAAGTGGAATTACTAGAATGCTTAAAAGATTATGTGATCTCAGTACCACCTGATTTATATGGAAGGATAAGCAAATTAGACTTGCCACCTGCCCAAGTTTTCCTCAGGATTTTTTAAAGGTAGCTGTCCTGGAAAATCTGGAAGAATGCTCATTACATACTACCAGCTGTCCAGTTTTATGGGCTAAGGATTATCCCAGATATCCTTTATTTTTGTACCTTAGAGGTGGCAACCCTAGTAAGGTGGTCTGGCCAAGAGTGTTTGGAAGTTCAATGCCTCCCCATACTGAGGTGATGGCAACCAGAAAGATTGTTTTGATGGTAAAGAAATGTACTGAGCAATTTGACACTGGTTCAAAAGAAGTTAGTTTGTGGAGCTTATTGCCAGGAGATGGAGTGAAAGCCAACAGTAGAACTGTTTTTTTTAAGTAGCTAAATTCATGAAGGATAGTCCATCATTAGCTAAGATGATCAGGAGTGAAACGCCATGCTCTAGGTATCCCTACACCTTTGACTACCAGAAGCTGCAACTGGATGACAGAGGATTGATCACTCATTAATTGTCCTCATCAGTTCAGTCCCTCTGAAGCATCTGGCACTGCACTGGCCACTCTTTGAAGTCAGGATAATGGGCTACATGGATGATAGGTGTGACCCTGTATTGCCAGTCTTACATTCTTCTGAGTCCTCAGGAGTTTTATGAGGACAATACTGAAGGCCTCATGAAAGAGTCAGTATAACCAAACAGTAAATATGAAGGAGGTCCTTGGGGAAATTTTGATATTGTCAAACATGAGATCAAGGATGGCTGTACCAGGGCATGACACACCAATATCACTGCAAGGTGAATCTTAGGAGAGAGAGTTAAATGCTAATCGAGCATGTTTCAGGTGCAGCATGTAGTCTAGGAGTTGCAATATCAAGGCTCTACTGGGTCTGGATCATGTTGGGCTGTCCATATGAAAAATCTTTACTGTTTTGATGAGCGAGTATTCTTAATTAAATATTTCCCCATCTTGTAGGACAGGTTCCTGAACCTATAGGAAGCACGAAGCAGTTTCTGCCAGCAATGCTCAGTCAGCCAACATCCAATATTTCAAATGCAACAACTGTAGATCTGAATGCAGTATCTGACCCTGGTTCTGAGATATGTCCAGACAGGTTGGGAGGTGTATAGAACCTAGCTCCCTCCTTGCAGAAAAACACTTGAGTTCTGCCTAAGGTCCTCAGCTCGGTGTTTGGAGTGCCCTCTCTCAGTACTGGGACTTGGGTAGTGGAGGTGTTGAGATCACTGCTGATTCTTTTCTCCGTGTCCTCTTCTCTACACTGTTCTTTAGCATCACTTGTGGATAGGTAAGGCAATGGATAAAACTGGCTTGTCTGATGAGATCTTCATGTTAAGTAGCCCTTTACTGGAAAATCTGGATAGGAGTGTCTAACTGCCAATATCCAGTCCACATGGGTCAATACAGGACATGGTAGTCGTATCAAGAGTTCTGAAGTTTTATATAAGATTGAGAAGTTTCAATGAAAACTAGTGAGTTAGACAGTCACAGATTAGAATGAACTGAGAGGGTTGCAGTCATTCTGCCCTTAATGCCCTTGTACAGCAGCAAAAGGTGCCTCCATAACATAATCAGGCACTATTGTTTAAAAAAAGACGAGAGCTTGAATGCAAGAGGTTCAGTGACACCTACAGTGGAATCTATATTGAAACATACTCAAAGACATATCTTTACACTGATAAACTGTTAGCCAAGCAGGACAGTTAGGATCAAGAAACTCTAGGTCAATGATGTGCAATTAGAATGAGCTGAATGAGCTAATTTGAGAACTGCATTACAAGAACTGGGCCATTTGCGCAAAAGGCCGACAAAATATGATGACTTCTGGAAACAGTTAAGACTGAACTAGGAGAAGGAACTTGACCCAGGCTGGAAGGGGTCTGTCAAAGGGTGTCTGTCTTGTGAAGATTTTTAAAACCACATTTAGGGTGAGATCTTACATGTAACTAATTTCTTTAGTGTGTTAAGCTTAGCTTGCATGTTTGTTTATTTTTCTCATTTATGTTCTGTCTGCTCCCTTTTATGACCACTTATACCCTATCTTTTTATACTTAATAAAATCACTTTTAAGTAATAAACCCAGTGTAGTAGTACCTGGGCGAGCAAAGGTACTTTACACTAAGAAAAAAAGCAAATTTCATGACCTTACACTGTACAGGCAGTCCCCGGGTTACGTACAAGATAGGAACTGTAGGTTTTTTCTTAAGTTGAATTTGTATGTAAGTCGGAACTGGCGTCCAGATTCAGCCGCTGCTGAAACTGACCAGCGGCTGACTACAGGAATGTAGTAGTACCTGGGCGAGCAAAGGTACTTTACACTAAGAAAAAAAGCAAATTTCATGACCTTACACTGTACAGGCAGTCCCCGGGTTACGTACAAGATAGGAACTGTAGGTTTTTTCTTAAGTTGAATTTGTATGTAAGTCGGAACTGGCGTCCAGATTCAGCCGCTGCTGAAACTGACCAGCGGCTGACTACAGGAA